TCTTAGAGGAAAAGCTGTCAGTTTTTCATCATTGAGTATGATGTTAGCTGTGGGTTTTCATATATGGCCCTTATTATTTTTTTATGATTTATTTATTTACTTGAGAGACAATGAGTGAACAGAGAGAGGGGAGAGGGAGAGATCCCAAGCAGACTTCCTGCAGAGTGAGGAGTCTGATGCAGAGCTCGATCCCAGGACCCCAAAATCATGACCTGAGCTGAAATCAAGAGTCAGTGCTTAATTGAGCCACCCATGCAACCCTTCATATATGGCCTTTATTATGTTGAGGTATGTTTTTTCTAAACCCACTTTGTTGAGAGTTTTTATCATGAATGGATGTTGAATTTTGTCAAATGTTTTCTCTGCATCTAAGATAATTATATGATTTTTAACCTTCATTTTGTTGATGTAGTGTATCACATTGATTGATTTATGAGTACCTAACCATCCTTGCACCCCTAGAATAAATCCCACTTGATCATGGTGAATAATCCTTTCAACATGTTGTTGAATGTGGTTTGCTAATAGTTTGTTGAGGATTTTTGCATCTGTGTTCATCAGGGATATGCACCTATAGTTTTCTTTTTTTGTGGTATCTTTGTCTGGTTTTGGTATCAGGGTAATGCTGGCCTCATAAAATGTATATGGAAGCTTTCCTTCCTCTTCTGTATTTTGAAATAGTTTAAGGGGGAATTTCTACAAATCCAATTGGTCCTGGACTTTTGTTTGTTAAGAGTTTTTTCAGGTACTGACTTAATTTTGTTAATAGTAATCAGTCTGTTCAGATTTTCTTCCTGTTTCAGCTTTGGATGTTTGTCTGTTTCTAAGAATTTATCCACTTCTTCTAGATTGTCCAATTAGTTGGCATATAATTTTTCATAGTGGTTTCTTATGATCCTTAGTGTTTCTGTGGTATTGGTTGTTATTTTTCCTTTTTCATTTCTGATTTCATTTATTTGGGTCCTTTCTCTTCTTTTCTTGATGAGTCTGGCTAAAGTTTTACCAGTTTTGTTTGTCTTTTCAAAAAAAAAACCAGTTCTTGGTCTCATTGATCTTTTCTATCGCTTTTTTAGTCTTTATTTAATTTATTTCCACTCTGATCTTTATATAATTTCCTCCCTTTTACTAACTTTGAGTTTTGTTTGTTCTTTTTCTTATTCCTTTAGGTATAAGGTTTTGTTGTTTATTTGAAGTTTTTCTTGTTTCTTGTGGTAGGCCTATATTACTATAAATTTCTCTCAGAGAAATACTTCTCTGTGTCCCAAAGATTCTGGACCATTGTATTTCTAGGTTCATTTTTATCTCAGTGTATTTATTTCTTCTTTGACTTCTTCATTGACTCATTGGTTGTTTAGTAGCATGTTGTTAACAGGATCATTTTGTTTGCTGAATAAACTAAAGAGGAGAGGGACAAAGCAAGGAAAGGACTTTGGAAGCCATAGCAGTGATCCTGTGAGAGGCCAGTAAGGTTTGGACCACAATGGCAAAAGTGGATATGACGGGAAGTCATCAGATTCTGGATGTATTTTGAGGGTAGAGCTAAACTTTATCTGTGTGGGGGTTTAGGAAAGAGATGAGGAATAGAGGATGACATCCACATTTTGGCCTGAGCTACCAGAAAAGTGGAATTGTCATTAATTTAGATAAAGAAGAGTACATGAGGAAGGAGGAGGACTGAGTGTGGGATGTCTGTAAACATACATGTAAGATGCTGACTGTGCAGTTGGATCTGTGAGTCTGAAGTTCAGGAGGGAGCTCTGGTCTGGAATGTGAATCTGGAGACTTCTGTGTTTACCTGGTACTTAAATGAGAAGTTGGATGAGATCATCCAGGGACTAAGTTAGTTAAAAATTAGAAGAGGACTAAGAACTGAGCCCCAGAGCACTCTTTCAAATATAGGGAGCTGTTACTCTCATGGAAATCCCAGCTGTCAGTTTGTTGTTCCTCTGTAGCCTGTCCTCTAGAATCCATGGTGGGCCTCAAACCCCAACTCTCGGTTACTGACACAGTTAGTCTTCCTCCCAGAACTCTGTGTCATAAACTGTCTCTCCTCTTTTATTTTTTTCTTATTTCTGGTAAGTAGGGATTTCCCTTCTTTCTACTTGAGATAAAAGAATATTTTGTTGCATTTCTGATAGCATATAATCTGTTTATAGGAGGGTTTTCAGGTTAGTTTATATTGCCATCTTGCCAGAACCAAAGTCACACTAATTTTCTGAAGTCGGAGTTTTAATATATTCTCTATATTGAGGTGTATTCTGGACTGTTTGTATAAGTAGCAACCCCCCGCCCCTCACCAATTTTCTTTTCTTTTTTTTTTTTTTTCCCCTGATAGAACTGTACCAACTGCAAGTTCCTAGCAATACATAATACTCTTATGGTTAAAGGCCTTGACTCTCACTGAGTTCCATACTTTTTAAGTGAAGCAGAAAGTCTGCAGTATTTGAAAGCATTAACAGTAGTTGTACTCTGTGCCCGGCAAGGTGTCTCATCCAAATTGTTCAGAACACTTTAGGAATAAAAGTGCATTGAAGAAGTGCATCGATTCACACTTGGTTCTGGCGAGAAGCCAAAACCCTCATTTGCAACACAAGCCAACTGTTCCAGAAACATAAAAGACTTTCCCAGAAATCAGGAGATACAGATTATCAGTTGTTAATCACTTAGATTTACCCAAGTAGCACAGAAATTTTCTGTTGTTTGGTTTATAAATTACTCTGATATGGAGTTACTCAATAAATTTCTAAATGTTTTTGCTGGTTTATAGGAAAAATATTTAAAAGCTTGTTTTTGTATGTTTATGCTAGATATAAATATACAGCAGGTTTTTAAGCTACATTTTAAATTAATATAATTTTGCTAATTAAATGGTAGTGATGACCTATTTTTGTTGCAGAAACTTCATTCAAATTTCCTGATTCCTTTGATTCAGTATAATTTTTTAAATGGTGTTTAAAATCTTAAGGTATGTATTGCATCCTATTTATTACACAGGAGTAAAGAGAAATAATTATTTGCGGTGTACTTTTTAACTCTACTATTAGCCTATGTTCCTCTGCATAGTTTAGCTGTTAAAGAGAAATAGGCTTTCCTTGGGAGAAGCATCTCAGCCACTCTGGAATAAAGCAACTGAGGTTAGAAAGATGAAGAGCGAAAGCTAAGCGAAAATACACACACAAAACAAGCAAAACAAAAACAACGAAACAAATGTTTAGCTGTGAAATTACTTATATGAAAAAATATCTTGAAACACCTCCTAAAGAAAATGTAATTTCCACTGGGATTAGTTCTAAAGTAAAAAGCAGCTAAAGTAATATCTTTCAGAAAGATTGGATAGTAACTTCTCCAAATAGAACCAATTACCAGAGCTGTATTATATGAAGGTAAGTGAAAAATCAAACCAAAGCTTTCTTCCTGGAGAGCAGCAGTCTCCACACTGGCCTGTATTTCACCAGGGTCACCCACCCCTGGGAGCCATGGGAGGCTCAGGGCACTGCACTATGGATTTTGGTTCATCCTTCTGTCTTCTTCCTAATCTGAGCCTTATCTGTTAACTACCTTAATTGACAACCATTAATCTGTGCAATTTCTGTTAGAGCATGAGTTAGCCCTTTTAGATCATATCACTAAGGAAAAAAGCTCAGTGACTCTTGAATGAAACATTTTCAAAACTACATGTAAAAATTAAAGAGTAGGCTTTTTTCTTATAGGAAATAACCAAAGTTGCTGAAAACTAATTTGAAGGATTAAAAACTAGAGCCAACTTCACTTTGGGGTCATATAACCAGATTTCCCACTACTCTATAAGTAAGCTTATACTCTTTTACCAAGGAAGTTATTTATTTGTTCGTTTATTCAAAAAATATTAAATGAATGTCAATTCTGTGTAAGACACCATACTTCTATATATGTATATTTTAGCAAATCCTTGTTAAATATGCCCCCACAATCAACTGTGGCAGGATTGTAAGTGATTATTTTTCTGTTCCTTTACTCCTTTCTTCCCAAATGTATTTATTGATTGATTGATTGATTGTTAAAATTTAAATTTTTATTTATTAAATTAATTATTATTTATTTATTAAAATTATTTATTCATTACAATTTTATTTATTTATTTATTATTTATTCCTATTTTATTTATATATTTTTATTTCTTCCCAAATTTTATTTCCTATTTTTTATTATTTTTTTTATTTATTATTTATTTCCTTTATTTATTTATTTATTAAAGACTGCAGACAGTAAAGAACTTCTTTACTTTATATAAAATAAAATGTGGGGGTTCCCCGTTCCTATCCTAGTCTCACTTTCTAGAAGTAAACATTGTACCAGCTTGAGTTACACCTCTTGGTATGACCTTTCCCGTCCTTTGTACATGTACTATAAAAAAAGTCTATAAATTACATGTACATATATACATATAAACAGGGGATGGGGGCAGGGGATGGCTAGTTTATAAATCAAACCCTATATTGTTTTCAGCCTCTATACCTTTATAGTTTTCCATGTTGGTATATATTGGTCTACTTTGCCCTTTTGAACGATTGCCTAATAGTTTATAGTATTGATGAGGTGCCATTTTCCTCTTGTGGTTTTGTTTTTCACTGAATACTGAAGTAAACATGTTTGTACTTATATACATACAAGTATTCTTATGTGTGTTTTACCTTAATTAGAAAAATAGTTGAAAAACAAAAAATTCCAAATTAAGTAACTTGTTGACATTAAGGGACATGTTAGTCCTTTCCCACTTACCATTCTGCTAGGTTGTTGATTGAATTCTTGATTTAAAGTAACCATAGTAAACATATTAAAGAGTATAAATATCATGTGGGGTAGAGACAAATGTAATAGATATCCTAAACAGTTGTTCTGATCACTAAATAAAACTTCCTATGCCCTCTATTCATATTCATAGAGATAAATATGACAGGAACAAATACAGAAACATAGTTCTGATGCTTAAAACCTTAGAAAGATTTTCACTCTTCCAGGGCACCTGGCTGGCTCAGTTGGTAGAGCATGTGACTCTTGATCTCAGAGTTGTGGGTTTGAGCCCCACGTTGGGTATAGAGATTACTAAAAAAATAAAATCTTTTAAAAAAGATTTTCAGTTTTCCCAAATTTATAATGCAATTGTAGTCAGAATTCTAATGTTTCTCTTCTTTTTTTTTTTAATAAATCAACATTGTGCCTAGCAATTAAGGAATTTACATGTTTCTTTTTTTTTTTAAGATTTTATTTATTCATTTGAAAGAGAGTGAATAAGCATGGGGAGTGGCAGGCAGAGGGGAGGGGAGAAGCAGGCTCTCCACTGATCAAGGAGCCCGATGTAGTCTCAATCCCAGGGCCCTGGCATATGCTTAACCAATAAGCCACCCAGGTACCCCCATTTTCCTTCCCGTTTTTTTTTTTAATTTTGTTTATTTAACAATAAAGCTTTCCTTTCCATTGGCCAGCGCTTGTTATAGGCAGTTGGGATACACCCATGAACAAAACATAACCAAAAAAAAAAAATTTCTAAGCTTTGCGCAGTGGCAGTATCGTAGCCAATGAGGTTTATCCGAGGCGGGATTATTGCTAATTACGAAAAAAAAATTTTCTGCCATCATGGAGCTTCCTGAGCTTGAGCTGGGTCAGAAAGACAGTAATACTGCACATAGTGGATAAAAAAATCATAAAGCTTGTTAGAAGGTGGTCAGTGTCATGGGAAGATTACACAGGGATGGGGGGCTGGGAATTCTGACAGGAAAAAAAATTGCATTTGCCCATAGGTCCTTAAAGAAGATGAGGTTGCCTGAGAAGATGGTGTTTCAAGCAGAAGGAATAGTCTCTGAGAAAGCCATCGAGTGGGGGCATTCCTGGCTGCTGGGGGAATCGCAGAGAGTCCTGGCGACTGGAGCCAAATCAGAGAAGGGAGATGATGGAGAGGAGATGGGAGGGTGGGGCAGGGAGCAGAGAATATAGGGCCTTGTCAGCCATTGTAAGGACTGCCTGTCTGTCTTTGAGGAAATCGGGAGCTATTTTAAACAGATCACTCTGGTTGCTGTGCTGCAAATAGACTAGGGTAAAGGATGAAACCAAGGTGACCAGTTAGGAGGCTGTCAGAGCAGTCCACAAACAAGAAGCAATGTGGCTTGCACCAGTGGGGGTAGGAATAGGGGCAAATGGTTGGACTCTGGGATAGATTTTGAAAGTAGAGTTAATAGAATTTCCTGACAGATTGGATATACAGGATGTGAAGAAAAGAGAAATCCGGCAGAGTGACAAAGCTTTTGGTCTGAGAAATTTTAAGAATGGAGTTGCCGTCAGTGATCTCAGAAGTCTAGGTGGAGCATCCCTGCCTCTAAGTGTCTTTATAAATAATATGTGGTACCACCCCAACGAATCAACAGATTCTGCCTTGGTTCAAGGGACCCAGATGCAATCTGGGCATCAGAGGAACCACACGGGCCCTCCCTGCCCTGATTCAAAATCATTTCCTAAGTCCCGTGCCCTTGCACTCTGTCTCTCTCCCTTTTTTTCTCTTTCCTCTCCCCCTCTCCCAAATGCAAAGGTCGTTCACTTTTTAGAAATGGTCCTGGAGAGTCCTTTCTGGTGTCAGAGGACTTTTTTACTGTACTCTGCGGCCTCAGCCCCGTCGCTGTCATTCCCCCCCTGCTTCCACCAGGTGGCAGTGCACTGCTGAGCATTGCGCCCTAGCACCTGCATTCTCTCTCAGGAGGTGCAAGAGGGCTCAGCTTGAGAATGGCGGCTGGAGTGGAGATCTTTAGTGTATATGTTACAGACTAATCGGGCATGGGGAAGATAAGGAGAGGTTGTGTCGTTTTGTTAGAAACATCATATATCCTTGTTAGGGATGATTTTCCTCTCCTGAGTTGAAAAGGTGTTATATGGATTTAGAGCAGTCTTTCCACCTGGAGAGTGTTTTTATTTAAAGATTTGGTTCACTAAGCACCTTGCTGAGTTGCAGTACTGGCATTTGTTTTATGGGCTCTTCTTTGTTTGAGATAGGTAACATAGCTCCGGGAAGCTGTGCCTTCCCCAAAGTGAAATCCTTCCTGAAAATCAAAAGTAGGTATTGATTGATTAGTTTCTGTGTGTAAAAATTGGAACAAGTGTTATGTTATGTGTTATGAGGAACACAAATAAGGAAAGGAAATACCCTTTTGCTTCAAGAAATTTTTGGCGCAGTTGGAGATGCATAAGCACAAACACTGGAAACCTTAGGGATTAATTAATAAAAGTGTCATTGAATAGTGCTAGTTAATAAAAGGAGCATGGGGCAGTACTGCCTTTGGAGTCTAGAGTAAAAATGGGGCTAAAAGAGGCCTCTTGGTTGAAGCCTACCTGTAGACCAGTGAGACTCCCACACCCTCTACAGCATTTATCACTGGAGAGGTTGAACTAAAAAGGTTTTGGCTTTGGGAACGCCAAGCCAAACTGTGGATGGGGTGAGACCATGCCCTGTGAACGGGGCACTTAGGGAGTGTGTAATTACTCCTCGTCCCCCCCAATATGCATCACTTAGGTCTCCTTTCGGATCAGTTCCCGGAATGCTAGATTTATTTCACCCAGGCAGGAGACTGAAGGTTAGTTTTGGGGAAATGGATTTGCTCAGGAGTACAGAACTGTATGTTCTGACACTTGGTATTTCCCCCCAATGAAATGCTGGAGTCCTGCCTACTTTTTATCTTCCCCTTAACAAGCCCCATCCAGGACTCAGAGCTTTCAGTCGGCCTCCTAATGTCTTATTCCTTAATGCAAACTAGGGTTTCTCAGCATCAGCACTACTGACATTTGCGGTCAGGTGAATTGTGCGGGGAGGCTATCCTCTGCATTATGGGATGTTAGCAGTGTCCCTGGGCTCCATCAGTAGATGCCAATAGCACTCCTTCTTTCCCCACCCCTCACCCCACAACTTTGGTTACCAAAACTGTCTCCATACATTGCTGATTGTCCCTGGGGGAGAAGTCCACCCCCTTCTTGAGAATCACTGGCTTGAACTGGCATCCACAGGTTCCAACATTGGAAGTCTCAAACATAAGGAAAAGCATAACTAACTAGGGAAAGAACTTTGAGAAGAGGAATCAGAGGAAAGGATAAGTCAAAGAGGAGAGTGGGGGGAGACTTAAAGGAAAACGGTATCTTCAGGCAAATGCAAGGACATTGTAATTTTTTTTTTTTAAGATTTTATTTTTATTTGGGAGTGAGAGAGAGGGTGAGCTCCAGCAGTGGGGGTGGGGCAGGGAACAGGAGAGGCAGACTCTCTACCCAACAAGGAGCCTGACTCTGGGCTACTGCAGGGCCCTGAGATCATGCCTGAGCCAAAGTCAGATGCTTAACCAACTGAGCCACCTGGGCATCCTAGGATAATGTATCTTTAAAGAATGATACCTATTTAAAAAACAAAACAAAACAAAACAAACAAAAAAACCCTCCCAGAACTAGAAGGACCCTTAGCTATTAAAATTTTGATTGTAGGAATAAAAAAATGAAAATATTCAGAGATCATATTGAAGAATTCTGGTATAAAGCAGAACAAAAAGTAAAACCAATAGAGGAAAGGAAAGAAAATTAGATAATCAAACTGGATATTGGAGGACTACTGTCCAGAAAGAGCAAGAACACAGGCAAAACTTTAATCACACACACACAAATAAAAAAATAAGACCACTCAAGAAAAATTCCCATAACTGAAATGACATAGCCTTCAAACTAAAGGACTGCCCCCAGCCCAATTAAACTGTAGTCACTCAAGATACATCATCACGCAACTTCAGAATTAGTGATAAAGAGAAGATAACCAAAAATTTCCAAAAAGAAAAAGAAAAGGAGTCATACTAGGGTCCAGGTGCCATTCAGAATGGTGACTGGAGCAGTTCTCAAACCAATTCCCATGTGCCTTTTCACAGAGGATGTGCTCCACAAAAACAAGGGGAACCCAAGAAGGAGGAAGACTGTGGTCCTGGAATCTAGGTTTCAGCCCAGAAGAGAAGGGAAGGGAATTTTCAAGATGGCAGTGAAGGGAGTTCCCATGCGAAGACCAGCACATACAGCAGGCCTAGAGAGCAGCTGGTTAGGAGTAGAGCAAGGGGACAGAAAACTCCAAAAAGTAGTGGTGATGGTGAATTACCTCAAGTGTTTGACCAAACTGAGAGTCTCATAGGGAACTTCAAAAGTGTGTGTGTGTGTGTGTGTGTGTGTGTGTGTGTGTGTGTGTGTGTGTATGTACATAAAATATAGCTTTGATTAAGAAAAAAAGACCATAAGTGCTTGAATGCAGGGGAAGGAGAGATCTCAGGGCTAGAGTGTTAGGGTGAGAGGGGAGGTGACCTCTCTAAAAGGTAGGAGAATATGAAGAGGGGAGGATAGTTCGGGGAGAAAGTAAGGAAGTTGGAAATTGCGGGGCACATTCAGACAGAGTGTGTTTTTGAACCATGACAGATTGGGAAAAAAGTTGGTTAAATTACAAGATAAGAAATCATTTTAATTTTAGAAACCTGAGATCATCTTAGAATGCTTCCAGTTACAGACTGGATTTAAGTGATCCAGTATTTTTTTAGGGTGGTACAGAGAGGGTTAAGGGATCATCTCTTGAGTTGTGAATAATGGTTGATTTTTTGCTTTTGTCTTTGAGAATTTTTCTATATTTTCTAAGGTTACAATTAGAAAACAACAAAAGTTATGTTTTAGAAACAAACTAAGAAAAGATAAAAGCCCAAGTGGAAATAATAAGCTATTGATATGAAATATTTGTTTTCTAAATAACCCATACATATCATAAGCACCATTCTTTTGGGACAGGTATCTTCTTTTTGGAAGCACATTAGTTACTTTAATAAATAGAGATCTTTTGGCTTGTATTCCTTATTCCGTACATGTATAAGTCAGTGGCAGTTTGGTGGTTGCCAGGTTTAGTAGGCGTGACCTCTGAAATTAACACAGCATGCTTGCATTCAGCAGCACCTGCTGTTTTCCACAAGGTGGGGTGCTAACTTCACACAGTGGACTGAAACTGCTATAACTTACGGAAACTTCGGACTCTAATGCATTTGCTAACTCTTTCTTATAATTCCTGAGCAATTCTAACAGAAATACGTTGGGAAATATAGTTGCAATTGTGGGGTTTCGTTTCAGTTTATAAATTGGTTGGGCTCATGATGTACATGTTTAGAGTGTGACTAACGTATATAAGCACTTTTCGTCTTTATGGTGGACCTTGACTCTATTCAGTTACAGGCATAGATAAAGAATACCTCTAATTTGGTGAAGTCCATCCTAAATAAGTGACATGCCTGAGTAAGGAAATGTTTGTAGTTTATTACAAATAGAAATCCTGATGTGGCTGTCTCAGTGAATAAAAGATTATTTTCAAAACACCGTATCAGGTAGATGTACAGATGGTTCTGATGTATTTTAAATAGTTTAGTCTCTTAAATTCCTTCCTAAATCTTAATTATCCCATTCTTCCTGTCTACAACAAAGTCAGGTTAAACTTTCTCTGAGTCAGATTCTATAATTGATGGAATTGAAGAAAGTATGAATAACATACTGTAGTTGGTTGAGCCTTCTGGTGATTTGTCTGGTTTCTCTAAGCCAGTTAAATTTGTGTGGGATTCTTACACCACAAGGAGCCAGTGGCAGTTTGGTGCTTCTGTTTC